GTGTTCAGCAGGTCAATATAAATGGGAATATAAAGATCTGACCACTAGTTTCAGGCGCTGATAGATCATACCTGGATTTTAAATGCTGATTTATCGATTTTATGGGTTTTTTAAACATTTTTTTCTGACATCGGATTTGGATTCAGCGAGTCAAAATACATAGGAATACATAGGGCGGACGACGAATTCCAGTCGCCTGGATCATACCTGGATCATAGAAGCTAATTTATTAATTTTATGGATGTTTAAGCTTTTTTAAGGTAAGGAAGGATTTGTCACCTTATGGACCAAATCTGACTTCTGATTCGTGTTCAGCGATTGAAGGTACATGGGAATATAAAGATCTATCCACACCACACATTGAGGGAAATTTTCCTCTATTAGTATGAGTGCAACTAAAATTTTATGAGTGAATCTATTAGTTTCAGTTTAAATATTATCAAAAATGTGTAAATTATCAAAATGCCAAAATGTTCTCAATAATTTCACTCAATGGATTCACTCCGAACCTTTTTGCTTTCACTCAGACTGATTTATTTACTCTGATTGATAAGTAAGAAGCAACTCAATTGCAAACTAACTCAATTAAGTGAAACAGTGTTCTTCAATCTTCAACATATGTTGTTTTATCTAAAGCTACTAGAAAAGTAAAGTAAGGGTCCAAACTCTACTTTCAATTTGTCTTCTAATTGTTCGGATATTTTCTACACCTCTGAAATAAATAGTTTACCGTTTCTTATTAGACCAAAAACTGTTCATTAATTAGCTACCTCTATGTAATAGATTTATAATGAATTACTGCCTTAATTTTAGTTTTAAACACATGATTACAAAACAGAGGCACACTTGATTGATTGTAAAGGTGTTCCGTCTTTGATTTTTTGATATCTAGGAAATAATTAATATCTTTATCCTTTAAGAAGTAATTAAGGCAGTACGTATTTCCTGCAAACGCGAGCCTTTTCAAAACCCCCGACAATAACTGTGTCATATTCGCAGCAGGACCACTGAAACCAAAGAATACAAAAATTAACGTTAAGCAAGTTGTGATTAATGATGGTAACCTTATTAATACCACAAATTACATATGTATGTTATCGGTTCGTATATCTGATTTCATTTTTACTTATAAAAAATCCTACATAGCCGTTGATAGCGCACATAATAAATGAATGGTAATTTTTTGCTTTATTTTTTATTTCACATCTAAAAAATGTTAGCGTCGACTATCATTCTGAAACAATATATTTTTGTTTACAGGAAAGGATGATAAACATTTTTTGAAGTATATAACATGCCGTGTTTACCCATCGCTACTGCAAGCGTGACAAAATTATTTAAAATTTGAAATGACACGATTTTACTTTTCCTGAGATGACATATTTACCGACTTATTTCCGAGAGTCTATGGACTGTAATTTACTCATGGTTTGTCCTTTCGTAATTGCGGTATTTACCGTTTGAGCATGACAAGAAAAGAAAAATGAAAAAATGCAGTATATTTTCTGTCACTATTTTTATATTGTGTTTAGAAGAGCTTCTAACATTTTGTTATTCTGCTTTACCGATTACTTTAACTACGTCTTAATAGTAATAATAATTTTTTGGATAGATGTTATATTATCGTTCGAAAATATTTAACATTTTTGTAGAAAGAATTTTAGATGTTTATTGTGGTTGACATAAAGATCAATTTTCAGAATTGCATCGAGAAAACAAAAAAAATTATAATTAGTGCAGAACTGGAATCAGATTTGGTGGAATTTATCAAATTGCTTAGTTTAACCCAAAAAGATCTTTGACAGTAGGGAAGGAAAGGTGCAATTATATATGAGAAGTATAAATTAGGCACGCCATCTTAACCGATTCTCTCCTAACTAGTAATTAGTTACATCTAATTTTTAACAAGTATTGGATGAGTCGTCAGTAATTAGTAACCTGGAGGACGTGCTAGTGAAGACTATAATAATATAGAATTTTTTTCCTTACTGTAAGTAAATGTGTTATCTCTATTGAGTGAGTCAGCAAAAATGCAGAAACATTTTGTTTCGGAGGAGGGGGAATATGTTTTGACACAAATTTTACATCTACTACTTTAACCCCTAGGTTGTTACTTCCTAGAAAATTTTGAAAGTGATGATGATTGATGCTAAATTAGCTGAATTGAGTTTTAATTTAATAGTTTAAAATGAGCATAAGAATCTTTGAGTCGAATGTATGTCGTAAACGAATGCCAGCAATAAGCAAGTTACTTTTAAAATTGTTTGAGAATAGCAATAATGATTTGAACAGAACCTTTATCATTACGTACATGGAAGTTGGAGGTTTGAAATAAAATAAATCAGTTTTTTACAATCTTTATTTTTAAAATAATATTCTGGGCGCTATTAAGGCTGTTTCGTTTCGATTCGTCTATTAGTTAAAATTGTTAAGTGGGATTGTAACAGGTTTGTAGTTAGGTATAATTGTAATGTCGACATTTAAAAATTTATCGGTAATATTGAAGTGTTTGAGACTTTAAATAGTTCTAGGAATTTAGAAATTCCCACCTATCAATGAAAATCAGATTATTTACTAAAATATTGTCAAACATTCACTTCCCAAATTTTGATATTACAAAAACTGTTACACATTTGTATATATGGTTGCCTAAACATGTGTGAGAAATATAGAAGTAAAGAGTATTAATTTGGATTTACATATTTTTTATATTTAATATTACGGTGAACACAATTTATGGTTGATTTTATTTTTTAATGTAATTCAATGATATGCATTCATTAAAAAAATTAAAACTAAAACAATTCTTAGGTAAAGATTATAAATGTGCATATTAATTTATTACGTTGTATGGCCACAATGTATAATATATGTATAATAGGTACCCCATTTATATTTTACTAATTACAAAAACTTTATAAAAATCATAATCCCGCTGTAATGAGTAATATATAAACATAAAGATAAATATGCAACAATTTAAGCATAGTAACCTATGTCACGTATTAATAACTGCATTTTTATAGAAAAAGGAGAAACAACTCTTTCTATATATTTTAATTATATGAAAGATTTACTTATGCCCATTATAATACATATATCTTTTTTGTGGCACACTCTTGTTACTATCTCTCTTTTATTATTATTTTATGAACCTTTTTTCATTTTCTTGATATTTCTAAAAGTTGCCAAATAACGGCCGTTGAAATTAGACAATTATTCGGTAAGTACGTTCGTTTAGTAAATTACAATTTTGTTTATTTATTTCTCTTTACAATGAAGGTAATTAAGTAAGTATAAGCTTTGACTATATACACTCAGTCAAGGGTATAAGTATATTTTAAATTTTGAAACTGTGCAGGGAAATTATAATTCTACAAATATGAAAATCAGCAAAATTTAAAGAAATTAATAGTTTCGGACAATTTATCATAATTTCTACTTCTCTAAATTAATTTTAAACTTAATAACAAGTGATAATTTTAAAATACTATAGGACACACTTTTGGAACACAATTAATACAATTATTTGATACAATTTCTTTATTATTCCCAATGCTCTTCAAGTCTAAAATATTAATTTTTCTGTTAAGTTATAATAAGCATTTTTAATTTATAGATCTATTATTTGTATATCTTACTTAAAAGTCTGTCTAAATAAGATTCTTTCTCTACTTCAATAATAGCCGTATCCACTATTTCCTTAATAGATGGTTATGACTTAACGGCAACGATGGCAATTTTCAAATGAAGTTAAGAGCTAAAAGAAATGAGTTCTTTAACTGACCAAAATTTGCTATGATATACAGGGTCTTCATAAATGACTACAAGCCACGTGACCAGTAATTTTGTTTGAAATGGTAGTTTTATTTCTTTCATTATGGCAAGTAAATTTGGGTAAAATTAAAAATCATTAAAACAATAAGATCAAGATCAAGAAACACAACATTTTGTTTCTTCGTTGTGATTAGCGTAATTTTTGACGATATTCTATTCAACCAATTAGCGATTGCATTGTCTCGAGGATAGACGTAATGGTTTGTTGTTGTTTATTGTAAACTAATCATTAGTATTGGTGTCTTTAAGATTTATTGATTTTTCGTTACCAGTACCAGCCCTGTAATGTTGGTTGTCTAAGCCTGGTGGTTTGTAAATATTTATGAAGGCTTATTAGTACATTAGGAGGCAAATCACCTTTACTCTCTGAAAACACGAACAAAAAATTTAATTTATTTATCTCTTTTTCAGTTGAATAATCACTGAAATGTTCCCCTAATCTACATTACTTTTAACTAGAACTATGACTATATTATTTAACGGGTTTTCACCACTACAATTTCTAAATAAAAGTTTCACAAGGGAATTACTTAAAATTGGACACGTGCGTTTCTTTAACGTTTTGTTGAAAATTGGTGTACCTACCAAATTTAAATATATTTTCAACCTTTACTGACTACATATTTTAAGTTTTTTAAAACTTTCCTGTTTTCACTGTTAATAATACCTTACTTTTTTTACAAACTTTAAGACATTTTTCAACCATATTTTTAGCAGAAAATTTTTATTTATTTTACATTTAGCACAAAAAATATAAATGCTATTAATTTTTTATATTAATCTTCAGCAAATTGTATGTGTACTTAATAAATAAAAAACATATTGCATAACCTAACAATAACACATAAACAAGTTAAAATAAACTAAAACTGACTAATGCTTTCATCAATTCTTATTTTTTTTTTAATTATAAAATTTATGTGATTTCTTACAGCAAGGCTGTAATTTTTTTCATTATTACATTTATAAATTAGTGGTTTGTGTAGCACTTTAAAAAATAAATGAGGTAATTTCCGTATCATTTTATCTTATTTCTTGTTAACTGACATAAAGTGGTTTATCTTCTAAAGCCAGATCTTTTCAACTCTCGACCAAATATACTCAACCACTTTTTTTAATAAATGTTTCTTCATCTAAAATCAAACACTTGGGTACATCTGAATAGTTTTAATATTACTATTAGCAGTACAATTAATATCCTATACTTAGCTTAACTAATGTCATTAATAAGTGTAAATAAAAGTTGCAGCTGCCGTGCGATTTTGTTTCCATAGAATGTTCTTGCCGAAATTCTTGTTTCATTAAGGTTGTTGCCATATTTTGTAAGACCACATTAAAACACCTTGTCACGTTGCTTTGTATGCACCACACAAACCTCTCTAGAACCGAATTTGTCGCCCATTATCAAACAAATTCGGATCTACAGGGTAGATGTAGAGCATTAACGTGAAGCGACGTTATAATCCTTGAAATATTACCTGAAACAATACATAATTATATTAATTTTGTATAAATTGAATGTATACATTATATCTATTCATTTTTCTATAACTATTATCTAGTTTTAAATAGAAATTCAATGCTAGTTACATACTTTAGAGATTATGAAATATTCTGAACAAAAGATGTTATTGTACTAACAAAGTTTTTCTCACATCATTTAGAAAATAGTATTTGCAACTCTACAATATGGCAAGCCAGAGAATATGTTTAGTTGTTCATTTTATTCCAAAAATGTTATATTTTTTGGTATTATGTGTAGAGTTTTAAGTGCCAGGAATATTATGTTTGAGCATCATATAATTAAAGCAACCATTGAAAAGAAATGTTTCAGTAACATTTAAAAAATTCACAATTTTCACCAAGTAGGTATATAAATTAGCATCTAGGATGAATTCATTTTCTGTTACATAATTCACTTAATATTTTTTAGTAATATTACTTTTTATAATTTGTTTTATTAAATTTACTAATAAGATAATTTTGGCATAAAATATATGTTTTTTTAATTAATTTTTTGTTAATTTTTTTATACAATTTGACACACTATAATTTCAAGTTTTTTATGTAATTAATCAATTTTATTAGTTAGTGATAACCTGTACATAGGAATACAATAGTAAATACTGAAGGTAGGTATAATAAATGTTTTAAATATGAATATACTTTCATATTTAAGATAAAATTGCAACATAACAATATGTTTTATTTTCTCAATTTATGCAATTTTCTACTGTAATAAAACACAAATATTATACTGTTTTCAAAAATTGCACTGACGATGAGATTTTCTGATTCAAAACGAAGAAAAGGTTAGGAAGTTTAAATTAGCAAAATATGTATATCTAATAAGTGGGTATTTACATAAATACGGTTGATTAGGTATATGTATTTGTTCAAGGACGAAACATTGTATCCATCGGGACGAAAATGATTTGGAAAGATGTGTTGGAATCAGAAAATTTTGCTATTTTTCATTTTCAATCTCTTCATCCAATGAAATTATTTTCGATTTCTCTGCGGAAAATTATTGTTCTCTATGCTATACAACTATGAATGTCAAGCTTCCTTGGCACTTGTGAGTGATTAAACAATTTATGGGTTCGTTGCCACGTCGCGTCGACGTTTTAGACTCCTAGACGTATCGAGAGGAAGATATATGCTCTGTTCTTCACGTTTTGATATGAAGTTTGTTTTAAACTGTGACTATTAAAGACTTTTTTATTGTAGAAATTAAAGATAATAATTTAGAGGGCTTGGCAAAATTATACACGAGATGGGCCTTCTTCTAGTTTGGGGATCAAAAGCTCCAAGAGTTAGAAACTCTTAAGAAAAAGTATTAGTGCAGTATCTGGAAGCTGAGTCTCATCTCTAGCCCAGAAATTATGTTTCAACAACACATGCATTGATTATCTAGAATATTTGAACAAGAAATTACACCATCTACAATAAGCTCTTAGAGGAAATGAGTGTACTAATAGAATAACTTAATAAGCCATCATAACGATGCCATGTACATGCTAGGAAGTAAATTGAATAAATAGAAAGGCACATTAACACGGGTTTAAAAGAACATGTGTTACATAAAAACAACAATGTAGAAAAATCAGCAGTTGCGTAGCATGAGACTAACACAAGACACTTCCTTTGCAATACTAGAATTCTAGAAATCCAGGAAAATCGAAATAATTTAAAAAGTAATCTGGGGTTAAAACTATCTGTAAAAGGACTCAAGAATAGGAACATAGTAACCCAATGACTCTAAACGTGCACCTGGACGTATAAATACCGACCAGAGAACCTAATTCCTAGCGTAAGTTTCTTCTGAAGAAGAGCGATATGTTTCTTAAATTTTCAATCTTTGTTCTAGTTTAACTGTCTCTCCATCTCTGACTTTTTTGTTTACCAAAGTAGCAATAAATACTATACTTAAAACACTGTATATAATACATTAATCACCTAGATATACCCTTACATACGAAAACAAAAGTAATATTTCCGAAACAACATAGATATTTAAACATATATTTTACATTTGAAATAACTTTCACAAATTATTTCAATAGCTAATAAAGACTAATCAACCAACGCCACGTCAGCGTGTAAACATTAATTTATACAACTTCTGCCAACTTTCGAACTTTACCCCTAGCTCGAATCAAATGAAATGGTCGAAAAGATCGTTTGGTAGGCACATTCCATCCAGTTAGCAGTATCAGTAAATTAGACGTTAGCTTCTATCCCCCAATTTGACTTAATTAAATGATGTAATCTAATTAACGTCGGTTTTGTCACGCAAGAGAGGCGACCCGTAGAATTATAATGAGAGTTAAAATCAACATTCTTTAATCAGGATTTTCTGAAAAACTCAACATTTATATATATTATTTACTTGTAAGGTTTCACGGATAGGGATTGTTTTTGATAACAATGATACTAATAAACACATAAGTATATTTAAATGTAACTTTCATACATGAATATAAATGATTTTTTTAATATACCTACCAATAGACAATATACCTAATTATGTTCGTTACATATATTTGGATGTAGTTTAATTTATTTTTCTAAACAATTATTTGCAGAATTTTAGAAAATGCTTCAAAGGGAAAATATAATGGATATAATGTATATGTTAGTATATTTGGATAAAATATGCTTAATACAATATTTATATTATAATTTTTTAAAGATCAACACCTTATACACGATTTTAAGGACTTCCTTTTGACAATTTATGGACCAAGAATAATTAGATATTATATTAGATAAGATGATCACGTAAAAACATAATATTATCTAGAGCTTTCCTATGGACGAACTTGTTTTTTTATTAACTAGTATTTTATAGAATCTGGCTTGTATGTTCGCAACTAATAATGATGTGGATAAATATTTGCAGATACTCTCGCTTTTTGTTAACAGCTTTTGTATACACTTTTAGTACACTGAAAAAAACAATTACTTTCTATTAAAGCAATCGGTTGTTTTGAATGCAGTTAGTTTACATTTATGCTGGTTAGATTGAGTTAAACCAGTTACATTCAATACAAGTCATTTGATTTGTTTGAATTAAAAAAAGAAACAGTTTACAATAGATTTGTCTATAATTAACAAATTAGATTTAATATAATCATTTATGATTTTTGAATATTTGTTAGGCAAATTAAAAGAATAAATTTTTAATTAATACAAATTTATATTCGTTTTTATTTAATAAATATCATTTTATATTGGCCTATCAAACGTTACAATTAAACTTTAAAGGGAAATTATTCCAAATATATAATTTCTTAAATGTGAACCAGCTGGTTATAAACGTAAAATTTTTATATAGTTTAAAACTATTATCAGTTCAATATTAAAAAATACTATTAAAAAATTACTCCAATCACGTGACCAAGTTATGTTCTACTCTGACAGTCGTATCTTTGCCATCATGGCGACTATACGTATGTGCAAGGTGCCAGTAGTGAATTGTGTAGTTCAGTAGGCTAGTATGGACTATATTAAAAGGTAGTGTTTCTTGTTGTTCTTAGATCATATTCATAATATAACATGTGCATATAGTTACAAAGTGCTGTGTTCCGTTTGCTCCTAATTGAAATAGATGCAGAAACTGTAGAAGCTAGGGCCAAACAAGTAATAATCGTCAAAAAGTCAGTTTTAGATAAGGACATGGTGTTGCTGTTGTAGTTTCATAAATTTATAATAAAACCCAATTTAAAATTCCGAAAATTATTTTTAATCATTAAACTGTCAACAACTATTGACACGTAGTTTTGAACGATATATTTAAGTCTTAAAATTAATTTTTAGCAAAAATTAAATATTCGAATAAAAGTGTCGTATATACTAGTATGTGCTTTTTTTATTAGTAGGTCTCAACACTATGTACCTTTTCAAATTTAATTATAAACTTATAGTTAGATAAGTTGTCTAATTATCAGTTTAATTTAATTTGAGAAAGTACATAATTTTGAGACTAATCAAGAAAGAAATACGTCCAATATTAGTGTAAAAAACAATTCACTTTTTATAAACCATTGATTTATTAATATTAAAATAACCTATTTTCACTGAAAAACTGTTAGTTCGCATTAAGCTAAGATATATTTCTAATAATCTTATGTCATCTGCATCTTAAAATATGTAGATGAATAATAAAGATGCGAAATGTAATATTACAGTAAAAATAAATTAACATTCAAATAAGATTTATTACAAAACTATGAACTTATTATTAGTTACTTTTCACACTATATAAGCTAGGCAATATCCAAAACTAGGCAAAAAATTAGTTCATGGCAAACGATATTCATTTAGTCCAAATAAATCCTTTTTTCAGTGTATACAACACCAAATTAGTTATTTATATATTGATACTTAGATAAATAATGCTTCTTAATTTCCCTAAGAAAACATAGTATTGGTACTTATAATTTCAATTTCTTAATATTTTCCTTTATTTGATGATCCATTGACAAGATAATATTTCCAGAAATAAACTATCAAATACCTATATAAAAACATAGTTACTACTACAAAATAGAAACAATGAAATACAAAACAAAGTTCAATTTAAAAGTGAAGGCGTACAAATACAATTGTAATCGCTTGATGTAATATTATTTTAAAAAATTTAATGCTGATGACAGTGTATCAACACAATTATCATTATTTGATAAATACCTAATTATTAAAGGGCGAGATTCTACAAAAATGTATATTTAATAAATTAATATTTCTGGCATTTGTGAAAAGGAACATAAAAGTTTAACAAAGATGGAAGTTTAGGACCATCGGTCATGTTAAGAAATTTGAGCAGAAATATGAAATCTGAATGAAATCTACTTCACTACTGTAGTTAATTGAATTGCTTGTTTTATCACTGCAATATTTTCTATATGTTGTAACTGGGATTCCGGATAACACTGACTTGGCCATATTTTAAATTCGTTTCTGTAATACATATATAGACTTATTTTTGGAAAGCATGAAGCCTGAGAGTAATGTTAACTTACATTTATATTATATTATTTGCCAATAATTGGCTGAAAATTCACCGTCCTCTAGATTGAATCGATTCAAGAAAAGGTTTGTAATGACACAGCTCTGGAAAATCTAGGAGCCATTAATAAAAAACAAATGGAGCTTTTAAGTTTTTAAGAAACGACAAATGATATGAAATTCAACTTTGGTGCAACGAAAAAACACCTCCAACCACTTTATTCCATATACGCGTATCGCGAAGAAGAACCTTTTTTTATAAAATGTTAATGGACTTTTTTAAAACCACGTCGTAAAAATTTTCTGCAAGCCAACTATCAGTAACTTTCCTTAAAGTTGATAGATTTTGGGGAAAAATTTCGGAAAAAAATACTCTGTAACTAAGAATTTTGGGATCTAATATTATATTATTTTTTCTTCTTTAATGATTAAATCTTTAAACATATATTTAATATGCTTAGGTATAAATGAAAAAATTTTAATCGCATAATTTGAATACTGAATATGTAATGAAATATGTAAATGTAATTTACATGCAATTGAGGAAAATACTTTGGTAATTTAATTTATTTTTAATTAAAAATTAAACTATTGTGAATATATACATATAGATGTAATAATATTTACCATTTTAACTGCTTAGTAATTTATCCCTGGTCCATTTGTTGTCAATTCAAGTACAATATCCATGGATCATCATGCTCTGAAAAGAAAATTTACGTTACGTTACGTTCTCAGAAGAGTTCTTGCAACCTTGTTTTAAACTTTGTTTATTGCTTTTGGTTTATAATTTATAAAAAGTTAAGATTATACAGGGTGGTCCGAATTTTATGCAGGAATCTTCGAGGGCAGATAGATCTCTTTAAAATAATAGGTATTTGCCTTATAAACATAGGTCTAGAACGGCCTCGTTTTAGAGATACAGTGTGTTAAAGTTGTTAAAAAAAATGATTTTTTGTTTATATCTCTGGAATCTATTAACCGATCTCAATAAAATTTGGTATAGATAATCTATGACAGTAGGCCTTGCATTCCCTCAAATGCGAGCTCTATAGAGGTTCAACCAGTGGTGTATAACTGGACAGAGGTCGCCCCCTTTTCATAAAAAAAAACCTACGCCACTGTATGTTTTACAACATATTGTAACGGATTTATATTCTAATGCACTAAATACGTAAAAAAGGTAACTTTAATTTTTTCCCTAAGATTCGCCGTTCTCAAGTTATTCATACCAATACAGTTCCCTTGTGGCAGACATTTCAAACCATAATATTACAAGAATATTTATGTTATGCTTGAAAGTAATAATTCAAATAGATGGTTTTCTAGAGAGTTTATAAATTATTGGGAATTTTGATGGTATCAAGAAGAAAGGTCCACAAACTTTATTGCGAATTATTCCGAGCCACACTTTCACAGAAAATTCGCCTTGAAAAGATCTTGTTCGAATTTCATGAGGATTGAACGTAGCTTCATCGATCCAAAGTATTTTTAGTAAGAATTCTGGATTAAGTTGTGACTCTAACAACCACTGACAAGAATTCAAGTGTCTCTCTGCATCTTCCGGAAGTAAATTTTGCACAGGTTGTAAATGGTACGGATTTCTACCATCTTTATGTAGAACTTTTCAAATTTTTTTGGTAGTTTTCTTTAAATAACTCAGCGGGATGACTTTGTACGAAAAAATGCTTAGGACATGACAAAGCCGTGAGATTGAAAAAACGGTATAAAACGCCAATTTTTTTAAGTTGCTGTAAAAATGTCAATTATAAACAAAAAGTGATACAACTTTCGAAAACTATAGTTCAATATATATACAATAATGACGCTAAAGCCGAAAATCAGGAGAGGAAAACTTTTTGTTCTATAAGGTGTTATACATTCATCGGCATCTGAAACTCGAAACTTTGCCAAATTTGTTCGAAGCTTTGCTGACACTTGAAATTTGGTACACACATAGTGTAAATATGCAGAAACCAAAAGCAATTTGCAAAATTAAAGTATCTTCATTTTTGCAGTTTTGGTAAGGTTTTATACGTCACCCCAATTTTATACGTCACCGTTTTTTTAATTTTTGGACGTATATTTATATATATTTATAAAATATTCCATTACGGTAGATTAGCCAGCACAATTACCTACAATTTAATAAAATATATATTTTCATCGTTTAGATCCTAAGCTACTTAACATTTTGCGCCTGTTAGCCGTACATTATTCAACATATTAACATAAAATAAAATCGCACGTGTGAGGTAAATCTTTAACTTTTCATTTTCAAGCGCGAGCTCCGCTCTTCGGCCCTTGTGTACTACTAGAAATATGCAATAGTTAATTTAAACAATTGTTTACTTAAAGTGGCGTAGGTTTTTTTATAAAAAAGGGGTGATCCTGTGCAGTTGTACACCACTGGTTGAACCTTTAGAGCTAATATTTTAGGTAATGCAAGGCCTACTGTCATACATTATCTGTACTAAATTTTATTGAGGTCGGTTAATAGATTCCGGAGATATAAACAAAAAATTTAATTTTTTTAACAACTTCAACACAACACACAATATCTCTAAAACGAGGCCGTTCCAGTCCTATGTTTATAAGGCAAACAGCTATTATTTTAAAGAGATCTATCTACCCTTGAAGTTTCCTGCATAAAATTCGGACCACCCTGTATACTTATGTGGACTTTACAGCACAACCTTAGGTATATAAAATAATCAGCATATTTCCATACTTCATATATCTATCAGTACCACGTACAGATGCTAGTAAACTGTATTGTCTTAAACAGCACTTCGAGAATATTAATAGAGTAATTTGAAATAACTATAGATAACAATACATATTTATCCGTTATTTGTGAACAGTTATAAATAATGGTGTTTCACTTTACCTATAGGGATATGGTAGCTCGATAGAATTTTGATGTACATATTTATAGTCACATTGACAGAAACGTTTTCTTCAATTTACTACTTGTGCTTGGAATACATTGTCTCTACAGATGAAGGTTTATTAATATTATTAAAATTTATGGTCACAACAGATTAGCTAATTGAATAGATATAACAATCTAGGTAAACTTATTATACTCGTCAATCTATTAACTTCAAAATGTGTAAACTTTATATTTGCAAAGGTCAAAATTGATTCTGTTAATGAGGCATGAAATGCAGGTTGTAGTTCAAGTTCAAGATCAATTATCGAATAAAATCGACCGTTGCGTTGGTGACTGCTCGAAGAGTCTATATTTATATGTTTTTATCAAGTTATTACATGAACTGAAACATATCAGTTAAATCTTAATTCATTACTAAAAAGATAACACAATTCCATACTTTTTATTTCTGTTAAACAGTGTCTTCTGCTTCATAACATTATAATAACTTCAAGACCAAATACGTATAGATACCTATAACTATCTCTCACTTAGATTTGAAATTCGAACAGACATTGTAACAAGAGGAACCTATTTTATAAGAGGCTGATTGTCATTTTCTTATTTAAGGTCTGGGTTTTCGTTACTGTTCTTTCTACAAGAATTTTGTTTAGATTTTGGATTACGAACTGCACATTCTGGGATATCCGCATAACATCCCTTTTCTCGTTTGGTTTGTTTGGAAATTGTAAACCAAATTTGTATTTCTTTTTAATAGAATACACTGTATATTTTTACGTATTCTATTAGATTGCTTACTTAGAATTATACAAAGTAATACAAAAGAGACATAGCCAAAACAATGCATCAAAAAGAGAGTTCTTATCTCCTTTATTGTTACAAAGACAAAGACAAAACTTGAAATCATTGGTTTGTTGCTGCAGCCATGTCAAACAGTTTTCAAACTATCAGATATAGTCAACCACTTAATTGGTCACGTATTTTCAACAAGTACAAGGTCACGAATCAATTGGTCAAATATCGGTGGTAGTTTCAAATCAGTCCTCAATTGTTACAGAAACTCATAACTCTAAGATACTGATAATAATATTTGTGAGTTAATAGAGCCACTAAAAAATAAAATAATAAAAACTCATTAGCATCTCCTTTTGTTGCAAGTGAAGCATATATCTCTATGATTATTATAGCTTGTGTAGTAGTTTCATGAAACGATTATACGGATGCTCAATGATTCACCGAGCCTTCACCTTGGTTACAATAAAGTGCCAAACTCTAGTTGTATAATAAAGTATGTAAAAATATACAGGATGACCTATTTAGTTTCTGTATTCAAATCGCAACATTCATTTGTTTTTCGAATTGTAAATATGTATTACTTTGAAATCGGAAGAGAATTTTCAAAAATTGCGGTATTTACAATTTTTTTTAAAAGATCTAGGGAACCTGATTGGTAGAGGCTTTAATTTTCGTATTAGTTGATGTATGGTCCAAAAAATCGAACTACCGTGCGAAGCTCTATTAAGATCAAAGGGCTAGTTGTATATGTTGAAATATTCACAGCCCACGCCAGCGTTAGTAGTTTGTTACTGTAATTTTAACAATAAACTATTTCAACTATATTCTTTTGGTTATAACTCTGGTATCAATAGGCATATACACATCAAATCCTATATCACTATGATATTGGGAAAGAGATCTAACATTATAGATAAAAATATACAAGATAATTATTATAATATTGAGAACGAGGTCTAGGAAAATATAAAATATATAGGATATAAAAACAGTTTTTAATTTGATAATAAAAAGTTTAAATACAATTTTGTAACTTAAACATTATTGGGACTCTGTGAAATTGTGAAATATATAAATATTTCATCTACTATTCTATATGAAAATAGAATTTATATTTTTATAGGCATATATCCAAGTGCAGACTTGATTAATTGAAAAGTGTCATTTTTAAAAGTGTAATGTGCTACAACATCCTAAAAGCAGGAAGTAAAATGAACAGGGTCCTTTGTAGAATTCACTGAATAGTAATACAAATAAAGAAAACTAATGTTTAGGTTTACGTTAGAAACACCAAAAACAAATAAGGCAAGTGTGATAATAATTCTAATTAATTCTATAATAAAAAATAAATAAAATAAATAATAATTAATTAATTCTAATTCTAATAATTAAGTGGAAATGGTAGTGAAACTAAAAAAATTGAAATATATGTTCAGTGGATAGTACTATTACTGTTTCATCGTTTCTAAATGAGAAAGAAAAATAATCTAGTTCAACATTCAATTGAAAAAATGATAAGAGATTTAAAACTGAAAAGTGAATATTATATATGGAATAAATCTCAAGTTGAGCTTTTCCTACATTACATTGTTATGTAATATTCCAAAGATACTTTAATGATTATATATGTTTATATATTATAAATGAATATATACACCGTGTCCACCTAGTGGGCGCGCGTAAGTCCAATATCTAGGTTAATAAAAGATATAACTTAATTTTTTTTTCTACAGAGTTGCCTACTTTCCCGAGCTGCACAAAATGAAAATATATTTGCATATACAGGGTGTTCAGTTTTTCCTGGGCTGGTACCAACTCAATTTTTTTAAATGGAAACCTATATTTTTTATGGTATTATCGAATTCTACGTGAAAAATTAACGGGACTTTGTGTTATGATAATATTGATAGTTTTCGAGATAATCGACTTTTAATTTTTTTTCTTATGTTACGTTACTTCTAGTAGTTGACATAATTATGATTGTATGACAGCTAGAAATTATTTTTTTTTACAGGAACTGTAGAGTGAAGACGGCTCTTTCAAAAAACGTATCAAAAGTTGAGCTGCGATATACAGGGGGCAAAAAAAATCGTGCCAAACCTGATAATTTGAAAAATCTCGACTTTTTCAAATAGAACACCCTGTGTTTTATGATTTCATTAGATGCTTTTCTGTAGACCCTATAATTTTTTAATAGCTTTCCCTATACCTAAGTTGCGTAGTTTTTGCAAAAAAAAAACATTTTTATGTAAAATTCCGGATTTGCGCCCATTCCTTTGTCGGGAAAAATATTGTAAGGGTATTTATTTTTATTAAATTTATTAGCTGTCTAGCTACACTATTTAAAATAAAAATTAATAACTGAAAAATTTCGATATTTTAGTTTAATAAATAAGTCTTTATGGAAAGTTACCATTTATTTGTAAATAAAAACAAAAAACCATAAAATCGCTATAAGTGATTAAGAATTAGCAAAATATGGGAAATGTTTGCTAGCAGCACGTATTTACAAAGCAAATAATCCAAATTTACAGAGATTCCCACTGTTTTGAAAATGTGAAGGAATGGTTTGAATGAACAGCAAATGCGAATTATGAGAAAACTACCAGGAGACATGAAAGTAACAACGATAATATTTAGTTTAAAGTTGTGGCGTCTGCTGTTGAAAATCCAAATATTAGTGCCAGGAAATTAGTAGTAACCTTGGAGTTTTCAAAAGCTTGACAAATAAAATATTGAAGAAGAATTTTCATCCGTATCAATTGAAAATCAAGCACCGTTACCGTAGTTAGGAAAGTTATTAGTGAAATTGGAGATTAAAAAATTTGGATGAATAGAATTTTGAAAAAAGTATACTCATAATCGCAAGCTAACTTAAAATAAATACCCTTACAATAATTTTCCCCACAAAGGAGCGGGCGCAAATCCGATATTTTACATAAAAATGTTTTTTTTGCAAAAACTAGGTATAGGAAAGCTATTAAAAAATTGTAGGGTCTACAGAAAGGTATCTAATGAAATCATAAAACACAGGGTGTTCTATTTGAAAAGACGAGATTTTTCAAATTATAAATTATCAGGTTATCATTATCAAATTATCACGATTTTGTTTTGCCCCCTGTATATCGCAGGTCAACTTTTGATACGTTTTTTGAAAGAGCCATCTTCACTCTACAGTTCCTGAAAAAAAAAAAATAATTTCTAGCTGTCATACAATCATAATTATGTCAACTACTAGAAGTGACGTAACATAAGAAAAAAAATGACAAGTCGATTATCTGGAAAACTATCAATATTTTAATAGGGATCATAACACAAAGGCCCGTTAATTTTTCACGTAGAATTCCACAATGCCATAAAAATATGTTTCCTTTTAAAAAAATGAAGTTGGTACCTGCCCAGGAAAAACTGAACACCCTGTATATCCACTAAAATAAGATCCAATTCTTATTTATAGTATAAGGGCGAAATGGGCGGTAACTATTAGACGCCTTCACTATACCCATTCTTCATCACATGAATTTCTATGGCTTACTTTATCGCTCTCACGTAACTTCAGATAGACCATCGATACTTTCCTACCCTGTATCCGTGAATAAGTTAATAACAGAAAAGCCCAAAACTCTTAAAAACCAGAGAAACAAGATTAAAAACGAAATGATTATATGAAAGATTTCCTAAGAAAATAAATTAGTAGGCTATCTCTGAAAAAAATAATGAAGAAATTGAAGACCCGGTGCTAACTAAATTCAGAGAAAATTGTAAAATTAATTTTTAATTAAAAAAATTAATTTAATTCATTTTTAATTTTGTTTTATTCTATTTGTAGGGTGCTAAAATAGATAAATATTGAGTGAATAAAAAAAATACATGAAGATGGACTGCATAATTTAGACCCCAAAGTAGTTTAACAAATCGTTGATAAACATTAGGATTTGGAATTATTAGACTTAAACTTTTAATTTTGTCCCACATTTTATATTCTTTTGTGGTCCAAAAGCTAATTCTTCTTTAATAAACTGCCCTTTATTAACAATTTTATACACCTTTCTTATTTGTGGATAAAAGTGATTATAAACTCTACAACTAGATGTGGATATTTTCCTAAGCAAAGTAATAATAAATTAACCTCATCGTATGATGACACTTATGTGTCATTTAGATTTTTGTACCAGGTAGGTACTTACAATTAGTTCAATGCTTATTACCCAAGTTTATTTTTATTGCAACATTCAATTTGAAATTTATAAATCAAGATAGAAATAGTTTAAGTGCATGATGGGATCGCTTTTTCCTAACATTAGCAGTACAATATAGATACTAACGTTAACTCTACTTTTTACATCAATAAAAAAAGACTGACTGACTCAGAAGATATGTTTTATGACATTTCATTTAAAAGGGTTTAACATTACTTATTCAGCCATGCAGAGAAATTAATAGAGAGAGAGAAATAAATTTCAAAATTATATTTGCTTTGAATAATGAATTTCTTAATTTATGAACAGAGTGTAGCCATCAATATCTTAATTACCATTTATCTTAGAGATGTGCTATTTTTATCTGATACAATGTACGTCAATCGATAATAGATAGTGTAAAATTAATCCCTCAGTTAAGAACTTTGAAATGTTTTTAAAAAAAATAGTACCGTATACTCATTAATAATATACTCTATACTCATTTCGAGTTTAGTTTAAAGTTAGTTTTAGTTATATTGTTGTTGAAGAATATGTCTAAATTGTCATTTTATTCCACCATTTTTCAAAAGATGTTCTCTAAAATTCCAATTTCTTTATATTACTGAATAAGTGGCCGCACATAAATACTTTTTGGTATTTAATTCACCAAAGAGTTGGCATCAAAATACGCCTTCAAACAAGGTGAAGTTAAGGTGTTTGGACATTTTTCTTTTTTTGTAGTTTTTTTTTAAAAATTTTATTAAAAGCTGACATATCTAGATGGTCACATTCAATTTATACTCAGAATTATGTACTCCAGAGTTATCACAGAAATATTGACGCAAAAGGGACGGATTAAACTTAATCTAGCAACGTTATTCATACCTTGTGGTCTTCCTTTGTGTTCATCTACATTCACTTCATTCATGTAGTCATCATTATCTGTTTTGACTAGAGCAAAAGTAAATTCGGTGTCTAGTTGATACTGTACTGTGTAAGAACCTAAAAAAAGAAATTGTTAAACTTCATTTGTTATATTATTCGAGCAAAAGGTCTTAGAAGTGCCTATTTTCTTTATAACTATTATATAACAAAAAGAAAACTAGTATCATATAAGTAATAATATAGTCACCTACAAGTAGATTGAAAAGATTTTTATACTAGGTATTTTCAGAGGTAACAACAAAAAAATATATACAAATTAGAATCAATATATGTTTGTCAATTTGTAACAGCTAATTGGGAGTAGAATAGAAATTGAAATTCGAAATGGTGATTATATAAATATGTGTTTTGTTACAATACGAAATCTAGAATTAAATACTTAATATCGAAAAGTAGGTATTCAGCTTATATTAAAAAAAACTAAGTATCACTTCGAAACATTTCAGTACAGTTTTATTTGACAGGCAGTATTAAATTGTACATTATTTTAATATCATAATGAACAAACATATGATGTTATTTCCGCATAAAAGTAAAATATTAATATTATTTGCACCGGAATATTTTGATTGTTATGAATGTACAGTAGAATTTAACTACAAAAAAGGCAAGTAGGATTAGAATTTAACGTAAATCATTTTTGTTGTAAGTGGCAATTCATATATTCTTTTAAGTTGTATCATAATTTAAGGCCCGTTTACATGAAGCCAGTAAAGAAGCAAGAGAGTTACTTGCCGGTATAAAATTATATTTTCTCTATGTTGTGTTCACACTGGTATAGTAAACGGAATAGTTACTTGAACCAGTAACACACAACTGTAACAATTTGTTTTATAGAAGCTCAACTAAAGTTTATTAAACATTTTTTTATAAATTAGCATTGACATAATACTAAAGATGTAAATTCAATGTGACATGTGAGATAAGATATGACGATGTAAAGATTTGTGCAATACTATAAAATTAATACTTCTTGTTTCTTATGACAAAACGAAAAAATTTTTTCTGTGAAACATGTGGTACCTAAGTACATATAAGATGAAATTTTAGAAAATCATAAAAATGACGAATATTTATCAAAAACTAATGTAAAAATTTTTCTTCTCAAACATTTTATGGTGCCGCACCTAAATGTATTTTTTAGAAAACATATTTCACAATACATATAGGTATGTATTATGACTAAAATAATTATATCTGAATAATTTTATTAATATTTTTGCTATCTAAACAACAACGGGGAGTTTCGGTCAAAAAATGTAATAGTCTGTAAAAACAAACAAAATACATGTATAGAGCCTTCATAAATGATTACAAGCCACTTGACCGCCGCCGCCGTGCCTAGGCAACCCAATATCGCACTGTGGTACTGTCATCTAAAAATTTCTAAATCCTACCGTCACAATATTAATGTTTCATTTACAATGAACAATGACAAACCGTTACGTTTACCCTCGAAATAATGCAATCGCTGATTGGTTCAATATAATCTTGTAAAAAATTAAACCAATCACAGTCGGCGAAACAGAATATTGCGTTTTAATATAATCTTGATCTTACTGCTCTAATTTTAAAGAAATTCAACGTAAAGGAAATAAAATTTCTATTCCAAACAAAATTACTTGTCCGTAACTTGTAATCATTTATGAAGGCTCTGGAGTAATTGAGAATAGTATTTTTATGTGTACTTTCAATGTAATTTTATAAAAATACTGACCGTGATGTTTTGAGGGAAGTTAAGGGAAAGAAGGATGTTTTAGTTTCTCCTCCAAATAAAATATACCTATTTGGATTTGCCCCCAGATAGTGCAATTGAAGGGTCTTTCACAAAAAGTATTCGACCTTTGTGTTATAAAAAGTAATATGATACATGAATCTATCTATGTCATGATTTATAAAAATTTTATAAGTATTATACAGGATGTTAAGTAACTGCACGAGTTTATGACGATAAACTTTAAATGGTGATTCTTTGAATAATGTTGAAAAGGTTTTATACACATGGGTTCGTAAATCGATAGTTTTTTAAATTACAATACTCAGATTCATTTAATTAAACGTAAATATTAACTGAATTGTGATATAGATTCGTATATCAGTGTATGTTTGCTCTTATTTTGACAATTGTATAAAAGCTACGACTGGACAGAACTTGGTATTTGCAAATTATACAGAAACTAAATTTTCAGTGTAAAATTAGAATTACAACACTGAATCAAAGAGACTGCTAATGAAGTACCTATAATTTTTATATTAATCCAACACTCACAACCCACGTTATATGTATACATGGAAATTAATTTCCAATAACATTATATTTAGTGTCTGAATCGAAAAAATGCTTCTCGATTTTATCCAAATTTGCATTAAACGGATGTTTATATTCAAATCAAATACCGTTATTAACATTCATTTTATAATTACACGTATACAAAAAGAAAAAACTGCACCCGAGATAATTTTTATATAAGGCTGTAATATATGGAGAACATGTGGGTAAAAATAAAAAAAACATAAACTTGATGTGTTGAAAGCTCGGTGCCATTAATTACCAGTAACTTGAGTTTCTAATTTAAAAATAACACTGAAAGCACTTTACATTTTCATTAATTTATGGGCTGTAAACAATTTATCTTTATAACCAATTTTAGATTTCTTTTTCTGTTATATGTCTGATTCGCTGGTAATACTGAAATTATAAATTATTTAGTAATATCTATATTTACTAGATTAAAACTTTATGACAACGTTATATAACTTCTTGGGGTAATTTATCATTTTTTCAAATTTCTGATAAAAAATTTGTATAACATGCATTTCCTAAAATGCAAATTTCATGAGCATTAGACGGATTCTTTTTATTAACTATGATTCCGATAGACATAAACATACAGACATGAAGTCTATTCTGAAAATAAGCGAATTCTTTGAATTACGTGCTAATGGAGATATTTAGTGACATCCGGTTGGCAGCATTGCATTGCGCATAGCCTCCTCTGTAACCACATCTTCTTGAATTCTTGACATCTCATTTAGTTTTCATGATATTCTTATTTGAGTGCAACGTGTTTAAGTGTTAGTGACGATTCTTTAAACGTGCGATTTTCTGGAACAACGATGCAACTTAAAATTTTGCTTGAAACTGGGGAAAACAAACTTACAGGGATGAAGCTTTGGATCGTACGCAATGTCATGAATTGGGTCATGCCATGAAATTTTGACTGAAAAATTGAACATGCATCGAGTTGCAGCAAAATTTGTTCCTCGTTTGATGACCGAACAACAAAAAGAAAATCGTAAGGACGTTTGTCGGCAACTCCTTGAACAATCCAATGTGATAAAACATTCATTCAAAGGATCGCAACGGGAGACGAAAACTGGATCTACGGCTACGACGTCAGTTTAAATCCAACGTCAAAGTGATGCTCACTGTTTTTTTGAGTTTAATGGAATTGTGCATTTTGACTTCTTGCCTCAAGGTAAAACAGTGAACCATGTGAATTTATAACAGTTACGCGAAAAAATCCGCAAGAAGAGACCAGAGTTGTGACGAGACGACCATGCGCACTCAGCTTTGTCAAGTCGTCAGATTTGTGCCAAAGATTAGATTGTTATCCTCTCTCACTCTCCTTACTCGCCAGACCTGGTTCCTTGCGATTTTTTTCCCTTATTTTCGACGTTCAAATCAGTGCTGAAAGGACGCCGTTTTCAGGCTATTTATGATATCAAAGCAAAGTCACAAACTTTAAAGACTATTTCAAATGAAACTATCCAAGACTGCTACGCAAAATGGAATTACCGCTGAGAAAAGTGTGTGAATAGGGGAGGGAAGTATATTGAAGGAGACAAAGACCAACAGTGTATAAAATTAACAATAAAGTTAAAAAATAATGTTCTATTATTTTCTAAAAATACTCCGTATATGAGATTTCTGCTTTAACGATTCAATACGATTAAACCCAATATATCGTAAATTTTCAGTTAAGCTGTTATTATAGGCCGTCGTTGACACTGTCAACTTAGTAACATAATAAACCATGACAGAATTACCAACATGAACATTTTCTATGCAATTTCACTTATGGAAACTACCCTATTGTTGATAATATATTTGACTTGTTTAGGTTGTAAATTTAAAATATATAAGTACCTAATTAAGTAATGCCACTTAGGAGATATTCATATGGAGAGCCTAAATAATAATATTTGGTTATCTATCGATTTGATTATAAAGCGAATAGGTTTACCGATATACAGGGTGTCCCAGAATAACGTGTACAAAGGAAGACCACAGATTTGTGGACTCAAAATAGGCAGTTTTAAGCTAATATTCGAAATCGCTTCGTGAAATTTTTTTGAATTTTGTAAATACCTAACTCAAATACGTATTATTCGATTTTAATTATTTTTGGGGTGTAATCAAAATTTTACAAGAGGCCCAAAAACTTCCAAATGGTATCACCTATCAAATTAAAAATAGAGGAAAAGAGGGAATGTTATGAACGGATATTATAACAGGTGTCCGCCGGGAAGGTATACTACTTTGTTTTGCCGCCATTTTGGTAAACATTAATCTTGACAGTTCATATTTGGCAGTTGTGAAGTACGCACGTGGCAAATTTATTATGGAAAAATATTCGATCAACCAACGTGTTTTAATCGTTAAAACATTTTATCAAAATCAATCATCGATTACTGTGACGATGAGAAAGTTACGTGAAAATTTTGGGAGAAACAACGTGCCAACAAAACGCACTATTTATCGTGTAATGAATGATTTCGAAGAAAGGGGGTCTGTAGGTGATAGGCCCAAGCATGGACCACAACGTACTGCAAGATCGGCTGAAAATATTGCTGCTGCTCAAGAAAGTGTTCAAAACAATCCAGCAACCTCAATTCGACGCCGTGCTCAGGAGCTTGGTCTTCAAATAACAACTTTGGCCACAATTTTGCACAAGGATTTGCATTTGTTTCCATTTAAGATTCAGTTGACACAAGAGCTTCTTCCACAAGACCATTTACACCGCCGTACATATGCCAATAGGATGTTACAGCTC